GTACAATTCCTCTTTTAATATAAAGTTATATAAATACCAAAATCATGGAATAGGCACAGTAAACAGTTGACTGAATTTCTCCTTGCATTGTTCTATTTAATATTTAAAAGTGTGAGTTATACCAATAACTAATAGACTTATACCATACCTAATAGACTTATACCATACCTAAAAGACTTATACCAATAGCTAATAGACTTATCTTAATAGCTAATAGACTTATATCAATAGCTAATAGACCTATACCATATCTAATAAGCTTATACATTAAGTAGTAGGCATTTGTCTTTTAACCTTCAAATTTTGCTTTTTATAATTATTTTCAAAATAATATATTTATAAGGAATACCGCTTGGGCGGCTTTTATATTTTATTAAAAAAATTTATAAATCGGTTCAATGATTTGATTTTAAAGTACAAGAATTTGTAAGTTATAAAATTAAGTATTAAAAGAACATAAATAAAAGTTTCATTATTGTTATGAAACTTATATTTAACTGTTATGAAACTTGTATTCAACTGTTATGAAACTTATATTCAACTGTTATGAAATTTATATTCAATTGTTATGAAACTAAAATTCAACTGTTACAAACTTATATTACAATATTATATTATTAACACTTTATATTAACAATATTATTCACAAGACTTATGGTTATGCTATATATATATATATTTATTATATGAAATGTTCAATATTTCATATAATAAATATCTGTAAAGCATGATTATAAGTTTGTGAATAATATTGTTAATATAAAATGTTAATATAGTTGAATAATTATATGCATACTCTACATAAACATGTTAACATGATTTATAAATAATTATTATTAATATTATGTAATATTGAACAAATGTATATTGTATTAACATATATTTACACACACACACACACACACACACACACACACACACACACACACACACACACACACACACACACATATATATATATATATATATATATATATTGACATGTGTAATAAAAAATATGTATAATGTATTATGAGAATATATATATATATATATATATATATATATATATATATATATATATATATATATATATATATATATATATATATATATATATATATATATATATATATATATATATATACATATATATATATATATATGTATATATATATATATATATATATATATATATATATATATATATATATATATATATATATATATATATATATATATTGACATGTGTAATGAAAAATATGTTTAATGTATAATGGGATTATAACTGAATATCTGTATAATGCATTTACAAATATCATTTTATTCACTTTTTTTACTATATACAACATGCTAGCATGTAAAACCTAATTTACATTACATGTGCATGTAATGTAAATTAAGTTTTAATATATATCATAAACTTAAAGTAAAGTTAAATAAAAAGAATTAAAAATGGCCTAAATTAAATGTCTGAATTAAAAAGGCTTGTATTTTTATTATTGTTTTAGCAGCTTTCTGTGCTTGTATAAGTTGTACATTTTTTATAATGTCATCTCTCTAATATACTTGATAATAGGCATCTTCCTTTTTTTTATGGAAGCTTTAATGTCATCTGAAACTCTCTATGAGTTATCCTACTTTTACCACTACTTTTCTTCTAAAACTGCTGACTATCATGCTAATATCTATTTATCTGTAACTTTATGCTCTACCTGCCCAAACCAGCTTAATCCTCCTTGATGCACCATTCAGATATGCTAGCATTCTTTTTGTTATATCCATATTTTTTCTCTTATCTTTTATAATTATACCACTCCTCTATTTTATCATCATTTTCTTTGTTCTTTCTAGGAAAAGGAAACTGGAAATAGACACTTGAAAATTTATTTATAAAAGTATACTATTATGTAATATTAATTTTTTAGGTAGGAGCAATAAGTAGTTCATGTGAATATAATCTAGGTGTTAGAAGAAACGCAATAATGATTGGAGGTAAAACATTAAAGAAAATATTCGAAAGCAAATATTATTTGGTAATAATGCATAAAGTTTTAGAGTATTTTTTTAATAATATTAAAATTAATAATAATATATACACAAACTTTTTAATAATAATAAATACACAAACGTTTTAATAATAATAAATGCACAAACTTTTTAATATTAATAAATACACAAACTTTTTAATAAAAATAAATAAACAAAATCAAAAATGATTAAAAAATGGTTTTACTGTTTCATATTATTGATAGATTTTAGAAATGTATCAGACTTATTGAAAGCGCTTGAAATAAGTTTGGTTGACGGGATTTTGTTAGACTCACTTAGCATTCCTTCTGTAGTTGATATTTTTGCTGAAAAGAATTTTAAGATTGCAAAAATGATACCTGTACAATGTGGTTGGGGAATTGTTCTTTCTTCTGATATAATAAAAGTGGAAGAGGAAATACGCTCATATGTAAAATCACAAGAACAGATGGTGAAGAGTCTGATTGATAAATTGACAAAATCTGTCACGGTATTTTAGCTTTATTTTTATTTTAATAAATTTAATTTATTTAATTTTAATTGCAGTTCCTGTTGAATCTTTCTTGTTGCATCTATCATACTATTCCATTGATCTGTCCACCATTATTGAAATTGTAGTTAGCTTTTTAACTAAATATATAGGTCAAAGGTTTTAACTAGTCAAAATATTTTTTAAATTTATTCAAATGCAAATTTTGCTCTAAATAAAATTAAGAAAAAGTGTAGTTATTAATTCAAACATTTAGTTTATAGTTTTAAACATTTAGTTTATAGTTTCAAACAAATGAACTTTAAAAGTTCATTAAATCTACCATACAGCCAATTTTTTTAATTTGATGCTGATAATGTTTTCTTTTTTGAATTTTTATCAGTTGAAATTTTTAATGTTTTCTTTTTTGAATTCTTAGTTGAAATTTTATTAGAAACTGAACAAAGTCTTTTATATAAGCTTCATTTTAATTTTTTTATTCCAATACTTTATTTTTTTTTTTTTTATATTCCAATACTTCATTTTTTAAATGGTTTGACTGGTTTTTGATGATTTTTTAACACTTTTATGTTTAGTTAAAAATCATAATTGACAAAAACATATTGAAAAACCTCAAGTTATCCAAACTTTGAGGTTGCTCTCAGTGATGCAACACTGTAAAACATCAGTGTATTAATAGTGCCATTTTAGGCATGGTTTGTTCTTTTTTAGTGCTTTTAATTTGAATTTTCCAGGCAAAAAAAATCATAGTTAAAAAAATAAAATGTCACTCAATATTAACAAATAACAGTTTATTAACAGTGTTAATAATAATATTAACATATTATTGTTAACATTGATGTCTTCGTTGTTGTCATTGTTGTCACTTCATTGTTAATGTTATTGTTGTCATCATTGTTCTCATCATTGTTGTTTTCATCATTGTCACTCAATTGCTAACATCTCCTTTTTTTAAGATTTGTGGAATTTTAAAGATTGTGGGCTTATAGATATTTTTCTTTCATTGAATCTCACCTACAAGGTTGTTTTTTTTTCATACATTTTTTGTTCATACCTTAGTGAACTTTCATAGAAAATTTATCAGATTTAGTTGGGTTGGATTTATTTTCTGTGCGACTTGAACTTGCCTTATTTTCTGATCTTATCTTATATGCAAAGGTTATTCAGTTATTTTTGGGCATTTAATCAAATTAGGTTTAAAATCACTACTTTACTCAAAATCCTTCTTCCTTTATCTTTGTTCTACATTGTTCACCATCTTTTTGACTGCTCATTTCTAGATGACTGTTCTGTTCTTGGTGATATTTCTGATAATTATAATCTCTTGAGTACTTAAAATTAGGGGAGGGGGTGATAATAAAAGAAAGGAGTGGAATTTTAGTCCAGATGTAAAGTCTGGGGATGGAGGGAGGTTATTGGTATTTTTTATAAAACACCAATAAAACTATTTAATTCGAAATTGGCTTGGTCAACTGTGTTAGCGACAGCTGTTTCATCATAATTTCAGTATGATTTATTATACTTATATAAGTTTTATACTCATAGTGAGAATGGTCAAACTTGATTTACAAACCTAATTATACTGAAAGTTTTTAATCTTATCAGTGACAGATATATATTTTTTCTGGTTATCTTTTTTTAGTTTTGAGATGTTGCTTTTTTGTTGATAACAAATAAAAATTATTAAATGGGGTGGGAGGTCTCATTAAGCTTGGGGTGAGTGGGAAAAACTTCCAAAAATTAATAAACGTCCCTTTCCATGTTTTAAGCACCTAAGAGTACCTGGACTGTATTGAAAATTTATTTAAATTAAACATAGCCTTCTAGAACATAGAGTTGATTATAAGTTTTTGCAATAACTCTTAAAGTTTAAAAGTTATTATTATTTTTTTTTTTTTTTTTTTTTTTGCACTTTATTATTGAGAAAAGGTCTAGATATATCTTATACTGTATAGATTATATAATATTTTAGATTATATAAGGTCTTTTATCATATAGAATAAACAAATTTTATTTTTTTGAATCAAAGATTTAATTAGGTTAATTGTTTTTTTTTTGTTTTTTTTTTATTGAAAAATGAAAGAATTTGTTTATATTTCTATTCATGTATAATTTATTTATGTATTTTTTTTATATATATATTAAATATATATTGCAATTAATTATATACTATTTTTTTTTTTTTTTTTTTAACATCTTCACTTCCAACAAGGCTGCAAGCAACCACTATAAGAGTTGGAAGTTACTGGAAGAGAAAAGACTAAATCTGTAGAGCAAGATAACGATTGACTGATGACTTAAAAGATTGCAAATTATATGAATCAGGAAAGCAAGATGAAGGAAGCAAATTCCAAAGAACTGATGTTCGAGGAAAAAAACTAGAAGAATAAGAGTTTTTGAAGCACTTAGGAACAGTCACAGAAAAAGGATGAGACTTAATTGAATGGCGAGTAACACGAGAATGAATTTTAGTAGATGGCACAAGAGACGCTAGCTCTTTAGAGCAGTGCCCATTATAGTATTTGTAGAAAAGAGAAAGAGAAGCAACATTACGACGATGTGACAAAGGTTGGAGATTGGCTGCCAGAGCAGGTCCAACTATGTTTACAATTCGTTTTTGCACCTTGTCTAAAAGAGAAAGAGCATCATTAGAAGATCCGCCCCAGATGTGGCAACAGTATTCCATACAAGGCCGGATTTGAGATTTATAGAGATAGAGAATAGAATCTGGAGTAAGAAAGTGTCGAGCTCGATAAAGAGATGCAACCTTAGCAGATGCTAATTTTGCAATGGATTTGATATACGGTTTAAAAGAAAGATCAGAAGTAAGAGTTAATCCTAGAAGATGAATGGTAGATGACTCATCTAGTACATTACCATTCATAAATATAGGAAGATCTAAATTATTACGATAACGATTGGCCGAATAAAATTGAGTTTTATCTGAATTAAAGTTCACCAGCCACTGTGAACTTTAATTCACTATTAATTAAACTGTTCATTTATATATATAAACATTAAACTGTTCATTTATATATATATAAATATATTGCAATTAATTATGTACTATTAAACTGTTCATATTTTCTTGTGTCTTAACTATCATCAGTTCAGCACTATGGTTTTTTATTCAAATCATGTGCAAGTTCTTTGTGCAGAATTGGTCTCCTAGGAAATAGCGTTGCAACCTTTAATTATTGTCTAAAGAAAGTATTAGGAATATTTGTCCATTGGGAGTTGCTTGTGTAGCAATCATTAACTATTTTTTAAAAGGAATATTTTAAATGATTGCCAAAAAAAAAATATTTTGTGTGGATATCATTACATATTCCTTCATTTAAAAATTAATTTATTATTCAATATAGTCATTTATTTATATATATAGTCTTGAGATTTTGTTGAAATTCTTCCCCCTCTGTCTTGCGATAATTGGGTTTTGTTGATTCAACTGTATTTTGAGCATTTTTTGTGTTTTTTTACAGTTTTTATTGCCAATGAATGCATCTTTTGTTTCATTTGTATCTGTCATTATTGTTTGGCTGTGTAGCCATTATTACAATCGGTACCTTTATCAAACTTAATAGATTGATTTTATACAGATTCTAAGTTTCAACTAATTTTTAAATAGAGAGAGTAAGGATATATTTTTTTTATTTGGTTTTTGTTTTTTGTTATGAAAACTTATGACTTTATGTATCTTTTACTACTTTTATAAGGATATATTTTTTGAAAAGCCTTTGTAGCCTATACAACATCGAAAAACTAAGTTGAAATTTAAATTTTTATTTTTTTATTATAGTTGTAAATTTACATATAATGTATACATACAGCGAGCAGGGAAAACACCCTGCTATAAGCAACCAGTTTTATAAATATTTGTTTCAAATTTTTTCCACAACCAGGAGTCTAATCTACTTTTAAAAGAAAGTGAAGTTACTTGCTCAGGTAGTTTGTTCCAAACTTTTGCCCATATATATATATATATATATATATATATATATATATATATATATATATACATATATATATATATATATATATATATATATATATATATATATATATATATATATATATATATATATATATATATATATATATATATAAATTAGTAGAAAATCACTACACAAATTTTTTTTTTTCATTTTACACTGAGTTTCATCAATAAATCATCAAATGAATGATCAAATTAATAAAACTTCAATTTATACCAAAAAATTAAATTACAGGAAGTCGCAAATGTTTTAACTACTGTAAATTTTATACACTATTATAAAAAGAATTCTTTAGAAATGATTACTTATGCTTTTTTAAAAAAATATTTTTAAAAGGGGGATTTAATGTAACTATTATTTGAGCTCACTTATTTCTATAGTTTTTTAGGAGAAACTTATTTCCATGTCTGCATTTCCGATTTTTTTTGTTTAATTAACATTCTTAGTTTGCATGTGTAATTATTTCAAATTTTTTTTGTGAACATAGTATGCATTTTTTGGAAATATTGTTGTAACAGTTTAAAATGAAAAAAAAATTTTGTTAAGTAATTTTCTACTAATTTATAATTGCTCTGTTCTTTTAAGAACATTTTATTTTTATTTGTTCTTTTAAAAATATTTTATTCAAAGTTTCTATTAGATTAGTTACCCATGATTTATGAAAAAAGCAATGTAGATTTGCAAAGAGCATGTTATTTTCATTAATGTGGTTTAAAATTTTGCTCTTTACAAGTTTTTAAAGGTTTTGCAGACAACAGGTCAGTGAAATAGGTTAATTATTTTCAGCAAGTAATTTATCTCCCTTTTTTACTATTTTTTGTACTATTTCAGAATCAAAGGTTTCGTGGAAGATTTTTGTTAGAGAAGCCCATTTGTCATTATAATGTCATTATATTATCATTATAAATGCATTCAGATTTAATATCACTTTTATTTTATAATAAAAAATATTCAGAGCTTTCTAAAGTAAATATATATTTGAATGTAGAGTTTAGAAGATCAACT